ACTTCTTTTGTTGAAAATTTGAAATTTTCATATACTTTCCCAAGATTCATTTTCTTCTCTATAACTAGTTCAATTTTATTTCTTTAATTGTTATACCCAATGTTTTGTTATCATATTCATGCAATCCATGTGGATATTATACTACCTTTGTTTCTATTTACATGTCGTCCTTACTAAAAATAGATGTTCCTTAATACTTATCATTTCACAAAATCAATACATAAATGACAATATACTTCCTAGTTTACCCTTGAGGATAATTAGCTTTGAAAATATACATTTGACCAACATAGGAAAACTAATAATTAATTAATGTTCACTGGTCAAATTAATTAATCAAAATAAATTAATTCTTATTCATTTATTAAAAACTTGACTTCAAGAAAATTCTAAATAAGAGTACAATGGTAAAGTTACCAGTTTCTTAAGGAGCTTGAAACATAAAATGGTGATAAATAAATAGAAACGAGAAGTACCTTTTAAGCCAAGTATATACATCCTTTCATATCTTGTTACCAAAATATATATTCACCCCTTTTTCTCACTTTTCTTGATATTCCAAATTGATTAGCAGTTTGGTATTTTTTTATTTTGTGTATGTGTTTTATGTCATTTTGGACAGGCGAAAATTAATTTTCATGTAGGTGAAGCTGTTTCAGATTTGTGCTAAGGTATGCTTTCTTTTATTGTTATCCTTTTTCATGTTCATTTTTTTTTCATTTCTATAAACAAATTAAATTAGATCTCAAAGCTTTAATCTTTGAAATGTGTATTGCTTTCTACATGTATGCCACCACCAAACAAGAAAAAGGAAGAAAGAAAGAAGAAATCAGAGTTCTAATTTGTCATCACAAAAGAAAAATCTATGATTGTTTAATAGATATAAGTTATATACACTATCAAAATATATATTTATGATTTTGTATTTTGTTTGGTTAGAAAAGATAAGTACTATTGAGTGGTGGTTAAACTGATTTTGTTGTATGGGATGAAGTGTTTTTCAGTAAAAAACTTTTATGTTTGGAAGATGTAGGTTGCGGAAACAGGGATATTGAGATGGATGTGTAGGAATAAAAGAAGTGATAAGATTAGGAATGATGATATCCGTGACAATATGGGAGAGGCATCCGTGGTGGACAAGATGAGGGAAGTGAAACTGAGATAATTTGGACATGTGAAGAGGAAATGCGCAAATGTCATATTGAAGAGGTGTGAGAGGATGGATATAGTGGGTACGCGGAGAGGGAGAGGAAGAGGAAAAGGTGAGCCGAATAAGTATTGAGAAGAGTAAGTAGACAGAACAATATGACACAACTTCAACTTATTGAGAACACGACCTTACATAGGAGGGTGTGGAGGTCGGTGATTATGGTATAAAGTTAGTAGTTAGTAAAGCTTTGTCTTGTTTTTAGATGAATTTAGGTTTGGTGATGTTTGTCGTAGTATTAACCACATTTTTGCAGTTTCTTGCTTTGATATCTATCATTATCCGCTATTGTATCATTGTCTAGTTGTTATTATTTTCTTATTAGTTGTTATGTTTTCTTCATTATCATTTTTCCTTTTCATAACTACTTTGATTTATTATACATGAGTTGAGGATCCTTCGAAAATAATTTCTATCTCCCCAAGGTAGAGGTACGATGTGCGTGCTTTCTACCCCCCTTAAACACCTACATTTATAAAATTTCATTGGATATGTTATATTGTATTTTGTTAGACCTTCTGTTATTGAATTGTTGAATATCCACAAGGGTGTAATAGAATGATTGAGAATCATTCACTTTTAAATTTTTAACACCTCGGTATTAGAAAGGGTTAAATTTAGAAAGAACTAATTTGGAAAGAGCTAATTTGGATTTGTTCAAGTTAAGCTTAAGTTGTGAGTTTTGGGTCAACTTCAAATGGCCATAACTTTCGGTAAAGGATGATTTAGGTGACCCATAAGATATCAAATGAAAGGTCTTTGAATCTCTTTCCAACGCCACCGAGTTTGTTAAATTTCGAGTTCGGATGAGGGAGATATGCCTGTTTGAAGTCAGCCTGTCCAGTTAAGGAAATTTACCCGAATTAGTGAGGGGTATTTTGGTCTTTTCCCTACCACATTAGCTTTAAACGTTTTTAGTAATATTTTAGGGGTCTAAACTGATAAGGGTCAATTTTACAATCCTAAAATACGCTTAAAATTTTGACAATAGTTCAATAAGAGGAAAATAGGAGAAAAGGAAGAACGATCAAGGTTTTTGCGAATTAAGAATTTGTTTCGCCAAATTAAGGTATGTAAGCTCTCATAGTGTTGGGTTCGTTCACCCACACTCCAATCATGTAATTTTAAATCCGTAATTTCCTTTTTGAGGTAGAATGACTTGAATTCTTGAAAAGTTTCTTGAAGTTTCGTTCTTAAATCGTTAATGATGAGTTTGATGAGTTCTTGAGATGACTGTTAGGAGTTTGAAGGTTGTTTTTGAGTAGATTTTTTTGTACTTTTGTTGGGTATTCGAATCTAAGTGAGTTAGAAACCATTCGATTCTAGGCGAATTAGGGAAAAAATAGAAGAAGAAAATTCATCGGAATGTTCTGGGAGGGGCTGGGGCGGTGCAAGCCCCAATGTGCCAAGGGGGCAGGGGCAGCGCACCAGCAGTGCGTCACATTTGAGTCTCTGAAGTTTAGGGTCTGGCGCCCCGCGCCAGCAATGCGCCAGGGTCGCCTGTCCCCACCATTTTTTCGTCGTTTGCTCCGTCTAAGTTCTATTAAAGTGTACCTTTACTCCTTTCTGATTTTAACTACTCTAAAATACATCTAAATATCAAGATATCCTTCATAACATGAATCATAATCCCTGAATTCATAATTTAAATTCAAGGCAGAGTTAAGAGTAAAAGTCTTGAGAGTTCTTTCGAGTCATTTTGAGAAGTCTTTTACAATATTTTAAAATTTGTTTTAAGATTTGAGTACTTGAGTTTGAGGATGAGGAGAGTTGAGTTTCATTTTTCAAAATGAATATATGGGAACTAAGTATTCCCTAGAGTAAATGTTTTTACATTTAAAATGAGAGGAAACATAGATTTCCAAATGAGTTCATGAGGATTTTTTGTGCATAATCTATTTTAAGAGAACATTTTGAGTAATAATCTCAAAGCTTGAGGATGAGGAAATATTTTTAAACATATGAGCTGAGTTATATTTTTGGGAGTAGTATTGAACACCGATATGGGGACGAGTTCATACAACTCAAAGTCCTTATAAACCATGTAGCCAAATGTGGGTAGAAAGGGTCATACTTTTTAGATGATTCCTTATTGCCTTTTAAGCATAGATTAGTGGATCCACTTAGTTGAGTATGTCTTATACTCCGGTAAGGTATAGGAAAGATCTGGCAGCGTGGGCGGGACACTGTATCATCATATAGCTTATAGTGATGGTTGTCGGTTAGAAAATCTCTCAAATTGAGTTATTTTGAATCTTTACATACAAACTGCGTATTTATTGTATTTTTAAATACATTGAGTTTTTATCTACTGTTTTAAATGCTTTATACAAACTGCATCTTTACTGTTGTTTTTATACTGTATTGAGTTGAGTATCCATGAGTTGCGGTTAGTATGTTTCCTTCTTTCCAAGTTCAAGCTTTTATGTTATGTTCAGTGTTCCCCTTAATTGCCCGTACATTCAATGTACTGATGCCATTTGGCCTGTATCGTTTCATGATGCAGATACAGGAGATCAAGATCATCAACATGCGCTTCGTTGATTCCATAACAGTTCGAGTTAGCTTTGGTGAGCCTCCTTGCTTCCGGAGGATCCTTTATTTATTTCTGTTATTTTAGTTTTGTTAGGATTATTGGAGGTCTTATCCCGACATCCCTCATAGTATTAGAGGCTTCATAGATAGACATTAGCAGTTGAGAAGTCTGTTTCATTTTCTATTGTTAATGTTCTAGACTCGAGTTACCCTTGTGGCTAGTTTGAATGTTTTTAAATGTTCTAAGTTAAGTATTTGAGACGTTTGAGTTAAAACTTTATATTTGAGTTTATCTAATGTTGAGTAATGTTGAGTAAGTCTTCCGCTGAGAGTTGAGCCAGACCAAGTGTTCGCTTGGGGCAAGTAATGGTTCTCGAGTGCCTGCCACGTCCAGGGTGTAGGCTCGGGGGTGACAAAATTATAGGTTTCAGCTTTGAATTCTTGAAATGAAGAACTTTTTAAAAGAAAATGCACAATTGTCTATGTCATAAACTAGCCATGTAATAATTTAATAGTATTTGCTTATATTTTTATTAATCAATATATTTATTGTAATATTTTTTTCGTAAATGCATTGCACTATGCATGATACTAAACACTAGGGACCCGAACTCAAACTCAACATTAACTTGATTATATTTTAACGAAGCTTAATTAGGCTTGCTTGACTCAAAATCAGTTATATTTTGATAAAGCTTAGTTAAGTTCTACGTAGGCTCAATTCGGTGTTAGGAAAAGAGACAACAAAACTTTAAGAACAAAGGCTGAAAGTAAAAGATCTCGATATGTGCTGAAATCTCAGTTTTTCTGTATATTCAAATCAAAGAAAAGTACTGTCTTTTAAATAGGCTTACAAATAAACAAACCACTAAGTCACAAAGTTGACCACTACTCCACTAACTAAGCAACAACTATCTAATATCAGAAAACTAGAAAATAATCCAGCATGACTGCTAAAACCCAAGGGAATAGGAAACTACTAACAAATTAAATTTGACCATGTCATACTTTGAATCAGTCTTCAATACTCCCCCTTGATTCAAAGTTACAGACACCAAGAAAAGCCCTCAAATAGATAAGCTTGTCTATGGTCAAAGACTTCGTCAGTATATCAGCTAATTGCTTATGAGTTCTACAATGCTTCAATATTATCTCCTCTTTTACAACCAAATGATGAATGAAATGGAAGTGAACATTAATGTGCTTAGTTCTACTGTGAAAACTTGGATTATTTGTCATTGAGATCGATGCTTTGTTGTCACAATATATCTCTGTTGCACTTTCTTGCTTTTGCTGAAGTTATGCTAACATCCTTCTTAGCCAGATGGCTTGGCAAGTGGCTGAAGTAGCCACAATGTACTCAGCTTCAGACATGGATAAGGTTGTTGTAGCTTGCTTCTTTGAGCTTTAATTTATTACTCCTGACCCAAGAGTAGAAACATGAGCTGAAATGCTCCGTCTATCATCCAACGAACCAGAAAAGTCGCTATCAGTGAACCCACATAATCTGAAATTGGAAACTTGTGAGTACCAAATCCCATAGTCCATTGTTCCAGCGATATCATGCAAAACCCTTTTTACTGTTCCAAAATGAACCTTTGAAGGTTGTTGCATAAACCTGGAAATGACACCAACAGAGAATGCACTATCGGGGCAAAGTATGGATTTGGTAAATTAAACCTCCAACCATGCTTCTGAAACATCAAGCATCATCCATCTTTGCTCCATCCTTAAGCTACAATTTTCACCAACATTCATTGGTGTAGCAGCATGCTTACAATTAAGCAAACCAAACTTACTGAGAAGGTCCTTGGCATATTTCCTTTGGGAGAGAAATATTCCATCTTCAACTTGATGGACTTCAAGGCCAAGAAAATAATGTAATAACCCCATATCTGACATCTCAAACTCATTCATCATTTAAGACTTGAATTCATCCACAAGAGAAATAGAAGAGCTAGTATAAATAATATCATCAACGTAAAGGAAAACAATGATAAAATCATTACTTTTCTTCTTTACATACAACGTGGGTTCATTCTCACTTCTCATAGATCCCTTTCTCTGAAAATACCCATCAATTTTTCTATACAACGCTCGAGGGGCTTGCTTCAAACCATACAATGCCTTTTTTAGTTGGTAGACCTTTGTTTCATTTCCCTTCTTTTTGAAACCTTCTGTTTGTGCTACGTATACCTCTTCTTGTAAGTCTCCATTGAGAAATTCCGACTTGACAACAAATTGATAAACTTGCCATTGGGATTGTGCAACCAATGCCAGAACAAGTCTAACAGTTTCAAATCGAGAGACCAGAGAAATTTTTTCCTCAAAATCAATACCGTATTGTTGCGCATATCCTTTTGCCACAAGACGAGCTTTATGTTTCTGTAGGCTCCCATCCGCTGCAAACTTTGTCTTGAACACCCATTTCAAACCAATTGCATTTTAATCTTATGGTAATTCCCCCATTTCCCATGTGCCATTTCTTTCGATAGATTTCATCACTGCTAACATCGCTCTCCGCCACTCTTCCTTTTCAGTTGCTTCTCCATAATGTGTAGGATCTGAAACAACAAAAGAAAATTGACAAGTTGTATACATGTCATTAGCATACTTGGGGTTTGACTTTTTAAGCCTTGTTGATCTTCTTAATGGAATTGGCTCATCTGAAGACTCTTCAAGAGTTGTAGATGAAAAGTTTCTACTCCCTGAAGTTGAAGAAGATGAATCTGGAGAAGTGGTACAAGAACTGGTTGCAATAGCTGTAGGAGTTGGCTGCTGAATTGCATCAAAAGTGATTCCAGTGGGCATAGAAATCTGTTCTTGCATCTTATCGTTGCTTCCACTCCAATTCCAACTTGCCATTTCATCAAATACTACTTCCCTTCTAATTAAAATCTTTCTACTAAGAGGGTTATACATTCTATATGCTTTAGATTGTGTGAAGTAACCAATAAAAATACATTTTTCAAAATTTTCATCCAACTTATGACGAAATTGGGAATTTACCAAAGCATAAGCAATACATCCAAAAAATCTTAAGTAACTTACAGATGGTTTATTACCCTTCCAAGCTTCAAATGGAGTTTGATACATAACAACTTTTGTGGGAGACAAATTCAATAAATGGACTGATGTCGGCACAACTTCAGCCCAAAAATGATTCAAAACTCCCTTCTTGTAACATGCTTCTTGCCATCTCTACAACATTGCATTTTTTCGTTCAGCAACACCATTTTGCTCTGGAGTATAAGGTGTTGTCAGCTCCTTATGGATGCCACTTTCTTCACAAAAGAGGTTAAATTCCTTGGACAAGAATTTGTCGCCTCTATCTGTGCAAAAAGGTTTGATGAACATACCACTTTGTTTCTCAACCTTGGGTTTGAAGTGCTTGAATTTCTGAAATATTTCTGATTTGCTTTCCAAAAATTAGACCCAACTCATGCGACTACAATCATCAGTAAAGAGTAGAAAATAATGACTCCCACCAAAAGATGTAGTATGCATAGGTCCACATAAATCAGCATGTATCAATTCAAGACACTTTGAAGCCCTCCAAGCCTTTCCAACGGGAAAAGACTTTCTAGTTTGTTTTCCATAAATGCACCACTCACACAATTCAATAGAATCAATTTTAGGTAGTCCAAGAACCATACCTTTGTCAACTAGCAATTTCAGGCCCTTTATATTGAGGTGACCATACCTCAAATGCCACTACTTTGAATCATCCTTTGCACTAGCAGCAAGTGCAAAACTTTCCATATTAGAAGCACCCAACGGAAACATCTTATTTGGCGTCGTAGTGATGTGCACCTTTTTACTTTATGTAACACCTCGGTATTAGAAAGGGTTAAATTTAAAAAGAACTAATTTGGAAAGAACCAAATTGATAATTTGCAAGTTATGCTTAAGTTGTGAGTTTTGGGTCAACTTCAAACGACCATAACTTTCATTACAGGATGAGTTAGGTCGCCATAAGATATCAAATGAAAGGTCTTTGAACACTTTTTCCAATGCCACCAAGTTTATTAAATTTCAAGTTCGAATGAGGGAGATATGCCCATTTGAAGTCAGCCTGTCCAGTTAAGGAAATTAACCCGAATTACTAAGGGGTATTTTGGTCTTTTCCTTACCCCATCAGCTTTAAACGTTTTTAGTAATATTTTAGGGGTCTAAACTGATTTGGGTCAGTTGTCACAATCCTAAATTGCGCTTAGGGTTTTGAAAGGACTTCAAGAGAAGAGGTTCAAGGTGTTCGTCAAGATTCCTCAGATTTGTCGAGGAATTTCGCCAAATTGAGGTATGTAAGTTTTATAGTGTTGGATTTATTCACCCACACACCAATCATGTAAATTTCATCCATTATTTCGTTCTTGAGGTTGAATGATTTGAATTCTTGAACGGTGTTCTTGAGGTTTTGTCTTTCATGCATTCTTTATGGAGTTTAATGAGTTCTTGAGGTAGGATTTCAATTTTTAGAGTTGTTCTTGAGGAAAAATGAGTAGACTCTCATGTATTGTATTGGGTAATTTAATCTATGGAAAATTTGAGGAAAACAATCGATTCTAGGTGAGTTAGGGTCAGAAAATGAGAAGAAAAATTTGTTGGATCGTTCTGGGAGAGAGGTGGCGCGACGCGCCACTTATCCGCTAGGAGGGATGGCGCGCTGCGCCTACAGTACACCAAAAAGAGACCTTTTAAATATAGGTTCTGGCGGCCCGCGCCAGCAGTGCATCAAGGTAGCCTGCCCCCACATTCTTTCCGTCGTTTGCTCCGTCTAAGTGCTTTTAAAGTGTACCACTACTTCTTTCTGATTCTAACTACACTAAACCACATCTAAACATCAAGAGATCCTTAATAACATGAATCATAAGACTTGAACTCACAATTCAAATTCAAGGTAGAGTTAAGAGTAAAGTCTTGAGGGTTTCGTCGAGTCATTTTGAGAAGTCTTTTACAATCTTTTAAAACTTGTTTTAAGACTTTAGTACTTAAGTATGAGAATGAGGATAGTTGATTTTCATTTTTTAAAATGAATATATGGGAACTAAGTAGTCCCAAGAGTAATGTTTTTACATTTAAAATGAGAGGAAACATCGATTTCCAAATGAGTTCATGAGGAGTTTTGAGTATAATCTATTTTAAGAAAATCTTTTGAGTAATAATCTCAAAGTTTGAGGATAAGAAAATATTTTTAAACGTATGAGCTGAATTATATTATTGGGAGTAATATTGAGCACCGATATGGAGACTAGTTCAAATAACTTAAAGTCATCAAAAACCATGTAGCCAACGTGGGTAGAAAGGGACATACTTTTAAGATGATTCCTTATTGTTTTTTCAGCATAGCTTAGTGGATCCACTTAGTTGAGGATCTATTATACTCCGGCAAGGTATAGGATAGTTCTGGCAGTGTGGGTGAGATGCTGTATCATCACCTAGTTCATATTGATGGTTGCCAGTTAGGGAATCTCCCAAGTAAGAGTTATTATTGTATTTTTAAATACATTGAGTTGTTATGTACTGTTTTAAACGCTTTATATAAACTGCATCTTTATTGTTGTTTTTATACTGTGTTGAGTTGAGTACTTCTGAGTTCTTGAGTATCTTTGAGTTTCTTGAGTATCTTTAAGTCTCTTGAGTATCCTTGAATCGAGTTGAGTTGAGGTAAGTTTGATTTCCTTTTATCAGTTCAAGCTTGTAGGTTATGTTTAGTGTTCCCTTTGCATGCTCGTACATTTAATGTACTGATGGCATTGGGCCTGCATGGTTTCATGATGAAGATATAGGTAACCAGGGTCATCAACAGGCGCTTCATTTATACCACTTGTAGTCCAAGAGTTGTTTGGTAAGCCTCTTTGCTTCCGGAGGATCCCTAATTTATTTCTATTATTTCAGTTTTGTTAGGATGATCAGGGGTCTTGTCCCGACATCCCTCATAGTATTAGAGGCTTCATAGACAGTAGTAGCTGAGGAGTCTTTTCCATATTTGTTTTGTAAATGTTTAGGACTTGAGTTACCCGTTATGGCCAATTTGAATATTTTTAAATGTTCCAAGTTAATCATTTTGTGATTTGAGTTAATTAAGCTTTACTTTTAAAGTTCTGTTATTGTTGAGTAAGTCTTCCGTATAGTATTTAGCCAGGCCAAGGGTTCGGTTTGGACCAACATTGGTTCACGAGTGCCGGCCACATCCAAGTTAGAGGCTCGGGGTGTGACACCTAACTTCTTATTTTTAAAGACACAAGCATTGTCATCAAACCAAAGAGAATGCCCATCGGACATTAGTTATCTAACACTCAACAAATTATATCCTAACTCAGGTACAAATTTAATATTGTCCAACATAATTACTTTGTCAAAGCTAGTGTCAATACCCACGATGCCTTTTCCTTCAACCTGCATCTCTTTTGTGTTGCCAAGCTGCACCTTTTTATTTTTCTTCTCATCTAGCTCCTGGAACAAAGATTTGGTGCTTATCATATGATTTGAAAATCCACTATCTAAAAACTATAAACCATTTGGCTTATGGTCTATATAAACGCAGGCCATAAAGAGATAATTCTCTTCTTTCTCTTCCTCATTTTTTCCTACTGCAAAATTCATTTTCTAGTCCTTATACCAACAATCAACCCATATATGCCCGTAGCGCTGGCAATGATGACTTTGAATGCCATTTTTTGTGTTACCTTCCTCATTGGACTACCTGTGCCCATCATTTCTTACTCTGCCTCTTCCATATCCTCGACCTCGACAACCGTAGAATCCTCTTCTTCCTCGACCCCTACTTTATTGACCACTATTTTCTCTATATTTAGTTGCTGATTCTTTCACTTTGAATTCTTTCTCTTCATTCTTTTCTACAGATCGATTGATTCTCCCCTCGTGAGCTT